CGGCCCACAAATCAGGGAACTACAGTAGGAGCTCGACCACATGAAGCCTTCCACAAGAAATCCAACCCTGAGACCCCAGGACGTCCACTGGTTGTTGGTGTGGGAACGTCACGCTTTCAATAGCAAGACCATCGAAACCCAAGAACCCCAGGGCACCCTGGAGGCAAGCAGGGTGTGTCTTGGCATGGGTTTTCACTGTAAGCCATTGGCCCGAAAAAATTGGCAGTGGCCCTGGACTTGGGCGGGACCAGAACATCACATGGGGCGGGGATTCGCTGCGGCGAAACAACATAGAGTGCGCGTTCGCAACTCTCTCTGCTCTTCCAGCTCCGCTCTCGCCAGACAATGGTATGTCCTCCCCCTCCTCTTAACCCCCTCCTGAAATCGCGCGAGGGCGGGGAGGGGAGGGGAGGCGAGGGGAGGCAGGTAAGCGAAGAGGCGGTCCTCCTCCTCCGCTCCTCCCTGGGCTTTCAACCCCGCGTTCTTTCGAGACGTGTAGCCAAGGAGCCCTCTCCGTGGCTAGAAGCATCCTAGATTGGGTCCGAGTAGATGGGGTCGGAGGATCGCGCCGCATCACCGATGCATCGGCGATACATCGGCGATGCACCAGCGATGCATCGGCGACGTCGGCGATGCCTCGGCGCCGTCGGCGTCGAGAAATGCGGGCTACACATCGATCCGCATCGGCGATGCATCAGCGATGCGGCGAGATCCTCCGACCCCATTTACTCGGACCTTGGCGCCTAGAGTGTAGCCAAGGATCTCTCGACCCCATCCCTCGAGTCGATTCGATGGGGCAAACCGATGATCGGGTGAATCAATTCTGTAGTCGATCCCCTACTGGAATCTCCGTGGCCAGCTTCTCATCCTGGATCGCCTGTTTGCCACCCCGGGAGCCCAGAACGGGCCTCCGAGGGAGCGGCGAGCAGCGGCGCTGGTGCCGGGCACAAGCCTCGTGGCAAGGGTGCCTTTTGTCTGGGGGGCAGGGCGCGGGAGACCTTGGATAAGACGAAACTGGGACGAGGATAAGTTCAGGTGAGGATAAATCGAGAAATCGAGAGTCTCTGAGAGCGCTCCTCAGCGCTCCGAGAGCATTCGCTCTGGAACGGATTCAGCCTCGTCCTGGCCCCATCCGAAGGAAAACAACGGGCCGTCGCGTCTCTGCTTCCCGTGACGCTGGGAAGCCCGGGCCCCCCCCCCGCTCTCGGCGTCCCAGGGCTCGTCGTCCCGAGCGACGCGGCCGAAGGAGGGGGGAGCGGCAGGAGGGCGCCAGCTGCACCGCTGTACCCACACGCCAGCCCAGGCCGGGCACATCCTGGGCCCCATGCGCGTATGCATGTTCGTAGCCCTCGTCGCCAGAAAAGGGAGGGGTGGAGGGCAACAGGAGCTGCGACAGGCAACAGTGCCATAAGGCCAAGCCCCCTGTGCCCCCTCGTGGTGAAGCAGGGCCTTCTCGTAAATGAACTCCGCGTACTTGTCTTCGGAAATGAAATCGTGCGTGGTCTCCTGGCCCCAGTACCTCCCCCTCCTCCTCCTCCTCATCCTCCCTGTGGCTCCTCCCTAAAGAATCCTCTATAACCCGCTGCAAGCCATTGAGACCCTTCTTCCTCGTCCTTCTCCCCCCTTCCTATCTCCGACTCCAAACCCTCCTCCGCATGCACCATACAATTGTTCCTCCTATTCCTCCTCCTTCCCCAGATTCCCAAAATAAGTTTGTCTGTTTGTTACTGTTTACGTAAGCCTGGGTGGAGCCCGACGTCTGGTGCTGCCACCACTCAACTTCCGGTAGCGAATTTTCATTAACCCGACTCAAGAATCACAAGGGCCTGGCTCTTCTATATGTAGCCAAGAATCCGCTCGCGGGACTGGTTTTCGCAATCCGGGTGCAACCCTGACAGGCAGGCGCGTCTTCGTGATACCAGACTGGAGAGCGTTGTTGCTTTCCTCTGGCGGGTAACGAGGCCCAATCCCCCCCGGGTAACGCTAACGATCGTACGTTTTTGGGCGTGGAGGGCCGGACCCCCTCCTTTCAGCAGGTATGGCGCTGTGCCCACAGGCATGGCGTGGCGCTGAAAGGCATGTGGTGCTCACAAACGTGTTGTGGCGTTCGCAAGTTCCCCACCTGTTGCGGCGCCGAATTCACAGGCATGGCGTGGTGCTGAAAAGCATATTTCGGTACTCACCTGCCTGTTGTGGCGCCTGCAGGCTATTGAAGTGCGCAGACGAATGTGGTTTACGTTTACATCCCTATGTTTTATTCCCCTGCTCTTCCTACTGGTGGAACTCTGGAAGCAATGCCGCCAGGGTATTTCGCAGCCATGTCTGGGCGGAGCAACCTTTTTATCCCGCGTCTGCTACAATTGGCGCTGACGAAGGCAAGGCGACATCGAACGACTCCAAGAGTGCAGTTGATGTGTGGCATAACATAATCCTACCCCCTCCCGCCTGTTCCACCGCCTACTCATATCCTCCCCCTTCTCCGTCGTCCTCTGCCCCTCCACTTCCTCCTTTCCTTCCTCTTCCCCTCTGGATTGCGCTGTGCGTTATTGGGATGTTATAAGTGGCCGTTTGGGCCATATGGGATTATCCGCACAGCACCCTTGCCCCTTCGCCTCGTCCTCCCCCTCGTTCCTCCTCGTCCTCCTCGTAAGTGTTCGCTCGCACTTGCGGGCCGAATTTCGTGACATGTTCGTTGCGTGCTGGCGCGCCGAGGTACGATGTGGCTGTTCACCTTTACCTGCTCATGTGCCATGCCAAAAAAACACCCACCTCCGTTCAACTCCCCCACTCCCTCCCGCCCCCCTCCTCCCCACCTCGATCCCGAAGGTCCCCCCTCTTCCCAGATCTTGCCATCTCCTCTTGGCCGTCTCGTTCGAAGCAAGATACGGATGGTCTTGCCAAAACTTCACAGAGTGCCAGCCCAGCAGTTGGCGCGCCATCGACACAACTCCCCAGGTGCTGCGGTGTACATGGGCGACGTGGTGAGGGTTTCCGCGGTCTGTGGCGGGCCCTACAAAAAAGGCTTCGCAAGCTAATGAGATGTGCCCGTGGGCACGTTTTGTTGTAGATAGGCGTTGTTGTGCACGGAAGCATTGTGGCGTGCGCAGGCGCTGTGGTGCACATGGTTGCTGTGGTGCACGCAGACGCCGCGGTATACACAAGCGCTCTGGTACACGCAGGCAACGTGGTGTACACAAGCGCCGTTGCGCACACGGCTGCTTCAGAATACAGATGTTGCGGCGTACATGGGCGACGTGGTGGCGTTGTGCACGCAGCTGTTGTGATGTACCGAAGCACTGTGGTGCACTCAGGCGGCGTTGTCTTGCACGAATGCATTTGGCACTGTCGCGTGCGCAGGGATTGCAGCGCGCGCAGGAAATTCATGTGCCGATGGCGCGAACGCACCCTGGCGGGCGGACGTCGCGGCCGCCGTTACCATTACCCGCCGGCTCAAGCCCCCCCCAACCCCGGATAACAGCCGATCGTGGGCCTGATTTTGAGCATCCACGTGAAACTCTTGCAGCTGGGCGCGTCTTCGGGCTCTTAGAACTTCACTCAGTGCATGTCTGGAGACAGCCGTACAACGTGTAGCGCTCTTCCAGAATCTGGCATCTGGAATCCAGATGCCAGATCACTACTCCCGAAACTAATTCTGAGCGCCCAGAACCGATTGTTCAGCGCTTGGATTGGATCATTTCGTGCGGCGGAAACCCCACTAACTCCCCTGCTCAGGCTCCAGCTCAGCTCCAGCCCCAGCTCCAATTCGAGCACAGCTCCAGCTCCAGCCCGGCTCTGGCCCTAGCTGCTAGCTCCAGCCCAGCTCAGGCTCCACCCCAGCTTCAGGTCCGACTCAAGCTCTCTTGATAACGGCCTCGCCACGGATGCTCGACATGATGGGAAGGGCAAAAGTAGGGTCATGGGTCAGGGCGCAACTGCAACAGAAGCGGCGGGCTGCGGGGCGAGCGCCGTATACCCCACTTTGCTACGCAAAAGGTTGTATGGCTTGCTCGTCTAGCACCGTGTTCTGTTCTCGGCCTGGGTCTCCGGACCCAGATCAATGCATGATCCATGCCCCACGTGTTTCGTCTTGCGTCCTTATCATCACAAACAACAGAAGCATCCACATCAGCATCAGCATCAGCAGCAACATCATCGACTCCCATCCTGCCTCCACTTCCGTCTCCAGATCATGCCGGACAAGGAGGCAGAAGAGGCGGGGAGGGCACCGCCCCAGCGGCCGAGAGCGGACTGGCGTATCCCCCTGGCCTCCTCACGGGGCTCAGGAGCGTCTGGGAGCGCATCCAGGCCAGAGGATGGAGCGCCAGCAACTGCGAAGCCCCGCCTTGCCCGCCCACCGCAGCCACGAGCGGACGGAGCAGCGCAGCCCCTCCCCGTGGGAGCGCAGCCGCCCGCGGGGGACGAGGGCGGGGCCGAGGGCGCGCGGGAGCCTCGCAGGAAGGCTCGGCGAGGCGGCCGCAGGGCGACGCGTGGGGACCACGGCGAGAAGGCATGGAGCAGCAACGACAAGAACTTGCTGTCCCTCCTGCGCTCGGTCTTGAAGTTGCTCCTGCAAGCCTCGCACAAGGCCCGCCTCAACAGCAACATCAGCATCGACACGTACACGCTGAACAGCAAGCACCCCGTCATCGACGCCATCTCTCTCGAGCTCGAGGGCTACAAGACAACGCTCGACGAGCTGCGCAGGAGCAGCGATCCCACGGACACGCAGAGGCTGAAGGAGATCGGGCCACCAGCTCCGTCATTAGGTCTCGCCACGCTCGAGGCGCTTCAAAGTGCGACAGCGAAGGCCAGCTGAAGACGGAGATCGGCGTGTACTTGGAGAAAGCGCAGCCCGCGGACAAGGAGAAGCTAGAGGTCGAGGTTTCGAAGGACGACTTGCAGCTCGTCATCAGCTTCACCAGGCTGGAGAGCTGCTTCGACACCGACAAGATGAAGCTCGTGATCGGGGCCCCATCATGGGAAGGCCACTCGCTCATCCAGCGGGCCGCTGGCGTCGGAGGGGGAGTCGGTCCACCACCGTGGAGTGGCGCCAGCGGGATGGCTCGATGAGGAGGTGGCTCACTGGCTGGAGACGCTAGAACAGTGAGGCCAGTCAAACTCGTTCGCGGTGAGCCCCTCCCTGCCAGCAGCAGCGCCGTCAGAGTCACGTCTGCTCCCGCGGCCTCTGTACGTGTGCCTCAGGCTCAGCCAGCGCAGGGCGAGGACAATGTTAGTCAATTCGAGGAGGCCCCGACTGATGAGCAGTTTCAAGACACAGCCGCTGAAGATGAGGCCTCAGCATTCTTGCACGGATAGCCGTCATGATCGCCCGACCGTCCGAGGCAGCGCAGCGCAGCCCCACTGTGCCAGCGCACGCCAGACGCGGCCCCGCGCGGGGCATCTCGAGACCCCAGGCTCTCTGCGACGGGCCACATTCATTCTTCAAACCGGTAAAACCTCCAGTTTGGTCCTGACTTCGAGGACAAACAATCATCATCACCACCACCACCATGATCATGATCATGATCATGATCATGATCATCATCATCATCATCATCATCATCATCATCACCATCACCATCACCATCACCATCACCATCATCTTATTCATCATCATCATCAGCATCATCTTCTTCATCATCATCACAATCACCACAACCACCACCACCAATATCATCAGACCATCATCATCATCATCATCAGCAGCATCATCATCATCGTCACCATCACCATCATCACCACCACCACCATGATGATCATCATCATCATCATCACCATCACCATCACCATCACCATCATCTTCATCATCATCATCATCATCACCATCACCATCACCATCATCATCATCACCATCATCATCATAACATCAGCATCATCATCATCGTCATCATCGTCATCATCACCATCGTCATCGTCATCATCATCACCATCAGCATCAGCATCATCATCATCATCATCATCACCATCACCATCACCATCATCTTCTTCATCATCATCAGCATCATCTTCTTCATCATCATCACAATCACCACAACCACCACCACCAATATCATCAGACCATCATCATCTTCATCATCAGCAGCATCATCATCATCGTCACCATCACCATCATCACCACCACCACCATGATGATGATGATCATCATCATCATCATCACCATCACCATCACCATCACCATCACCATCATCTTCATCATCATCATCATCATCATCATCATCATCATCACCATCACCATCACCATCATCATCATCACCATCATCATCATAACATCAGCATCATCATCATCGTCATCATCACCATCGTCATCGTCATCATCATCACCATCGTCATCGTCATCATCATCACCATCAGCATCATCATCATCATCATCATCATCATCATCATCATCATCATCATCACCATCAGCATCGTTATCAGCATGGCTCAAGTGGAAGCATGCCTGGCGTTCGGTCGGCCATCTTCGGGATGGGCGCTGCGCGCCGTGCTATAGAGGAGCTCTCACCATCGACGACGACGCTGCGATCCTGTTTGAGGCGCTTTGCGGACAGGGAGGGCGGGGAAACTGCTGGAGCGCCGAGGAGCACCACCGCGGCAGTGGGGCGGTCAGTGGTGTGCGCTGCAGCTCCCGTCGTGGCGTCGACGCCGCCCACGCCTGCGCCGTCTCGGCTCTGAGGCACGAGGCTACGATCGTGGGCAGGCCGCTGGCGCAATCTCGGCGGCGAAGGCGGCGCGCGGGAGCGCCGGCGCCAACGGAAGGCGGCGGCGCGCCGAACCGCGGATGGGTCCTCCAATGCGGCGGGCGGGGGGCCTGTCCCGTGCCTGCTGCGGAAGGTGCCGCTACGGTAGTCGCCGACGACGACGACGCCGGCGACGCCGACGACAATGACGAAAGCATGGGCACCGCGCTTGCTGACGGCGGGAAGACCGCGGCGCTGCCGATTGGGGCCTCGGCGGCGGCGGCTGCTGGCGCGGCTCCTGGCAGCGCTGCTGGCGGCTCGGCGGAAGTCGGCACGGAATCCGGCTTCATCGGGGCGGATGTGGCAGCGGCACTGGCGAAGGTGCCCGCGGGTGGCGGCGCCTGCGGCCGGCTGTGCGTGGCGGGTCACAGCTTGCGAGGCGCTCGTCTCGGAGCTCGCGCGGCTCGGCCTCCCGACCATCTGAGATTCGGATATCGCGCGCTTCGACGTGGCGAAGCTGCTGCAACTTACTCGTCACGGTCAAGACGTAACAAGGAACCTGGGACCTCGCTGATGGTGTTTGAATTCGGCGGGCACCTCTCCCTGCTGTTCTGATTCCCGCGGCGTGTTCGGACACACGGGCGCGCTCTTGGAGGCCAACCCTCCTTCTCTACTTCATCCTCCTCCTCCTCCTTTTCCACATCCTCCTCCCGCAATCTCTCAGAGAGACCCGCAAAGAAGGCACGCAAGAACCGCGGCGTTCCTGCGGCCGGCTGAGCCGGATCATGACGGCCAGGACGCGCCGGCTGATCTCGCGGGACAGCTGTAGGGCGCGCATTTCTTGGTTATGGTGTTCTTGCCCTGCAGAACGCCCCCAGGCGAGAGCAGCCTCCTCCTGCTACGCTGGCACTGATCCTCCTCCCGTTCCTCCCGCTCTCACTTGGTAGTTCTTCCTCTGCTGCTGCTGGCAGGCAGGCAGGCAGGCCCGCACTCCAGCCCCTTGGGGGCGGTCCTCTAAGAGGGCAGGCGCATGGGACACGCGGTCCCCCGCACTGGGAGAAACTACTGGGTTGTCGATGCATTAACAGATTTGGGAAAACGTAAGAAAAAATACACCAGGCTCAGAAACTACCTCGTCGCAAACCCATCCTCTAACTCATTCCACGCCTCGTGTGATCATGCATAGATTTGCCACGAAATGTAAATACCTTGCGTGTAGATGTACTCGTGAACGTCGTCATCCCAGCGTCTCTTCGGTCTGCCGGTCGCACGACGCGCTGATATAGAAGTCAACGCCGGGTCCCAGTACATCGCTTGCGAAGCCCAGCGGTCCGTATCCATGTTTGCCACTCCAAAAGCCCATCGCCATTTGCGTCGTCTCTGCTGCTGCTCATCATTATTATCCTCCTCCTCCTCCTTCTCCTGCTGCTGCTGTTGCTCCTTCCGTCGACATGTTGCACCTCATGCTCCTGCTCAGCGTCCTAATCATGCCCCGTCCGCCCTTTCTCAACGTCCTCCTCTTGCTGTTCCTCCTGCAGATGCCGCTTTTCCTTGTAATCGTGCGGCCACTTCATAATCATGGTGATGCCTTGCTATTGCCGCTGTTCCTCGTCCTCTTTCTCCTCTTCCTCCTCCTCCTCGTCCTCCTCTTATGATGCCTCCTCCTTCTCGTCGTCTTCCATCTGCTCTTCCACCACCACCTCGTTCCCATGCTTCTTCTCTTCGAACATAATGTTCCTCTCCGCCCTCGTGCTCTCCTGCTCCTCATCATGTTCATCATGCGCCTGATCAGCCTCACCATGTTCATCCTCCTCCTCCTTCTCCTCCTCATCATCATCATCGTCATCATCATCACCATCATCAGTATCATCACCGTCAGCATCATCATCGCGCTTGTAACGCAGCACCTAAAACGTAGGAGGAGAGGACTGATGGAAAAGGGGGAGGGAGAAGTATGGAACACTAGCGAAAACAGCAGGTGGGAGGTAGGAACAGAAAACACGTGGCATAACCAAACGTGCAGATCGGCGGACAGGACCAAAGTGGGCTGGTCGGGAAGGCGGGCCCCAACCGGCCAGGTCGAGCAAGCGGGTTGCTGAAGCGTGAGTCCTGCATGAATGGCGAGGAACTCTCAAACGATAGCGCGATTTCGAAATACATCGTGAGATCGGCCACGGCGAGGGCGTGATTCCTGAGTTTCGAGGGCGCGGCGTCTGAATAGAGTGCAAGGAAATCCCACGCGAGAGCGCGATGTCTGCATAAGCTGCGAGGAGGTCCAGCGCAAGAGCGCGATTTGGGAATACATTGTGAGGAGGTATCAGACGGGAGACATTGATGTTGTAACACGGGACCAAGGGCCCCGTTTGGTGACCCCCAACTCTCCCTTGCAAAACACAGCGCGCGGGCCCCGGGAGAAGCACTTGAATTGAATAACACAATGTGCCACGGAGTGCAAGCAAGCAACCCATGAATCACGCAGACGCGGAGGCAGAGAAATCACTGACAGGTTATGGTGGTACGCCAAACGCGCCCCGGAAGCAGTCCACCAAACGAAGACAATGGTGTGAGGCAACGGCTTGCTTTCATGCGTGAAGAAGCCTCATCGCGTACACTTCGCGTGCCCACTGCTGTCTTGGGCGGCCTCTGCGCCGGCGAAGAGCCCAGTCCTTCGGGGCGCCGCCTGCTTCGTTTACGAGCTGTTCCACCAGGGAGTGGCCCGGCTGCGCGGCGATTTTTCGGTGCAGGCTGACTTGCCCGTCGCGTAATATCTGCGACAATGGTTCGGGGCCTGCCCTCTCCAACACTGTTGCGCTAGAAACGCGCGAATAATACGAATGCGGGATGCCGGTGATTGTTCGCAAGCACCTGCAATGAAACGCACAGGGAATCTAAAAAGTAAAGCAGCTTGCTGACCACGCAACTGGAATACATGTAAAACTTTCTGCTTTTACCAATTGCTGCGGCAGCCCAACGTTCCTGCAGCTGCTTGAATGCGTTCGCGCGTTCGCCAATGCGGCGGGATAACTCATGCTTCGCCCGCCCATCGCAAGACGCGGTCCCACCCAAGTAGACGGCGCCCCAGACGTTATCCACCGGCTCGCCCGTTGGCATTCTAATCGGATCTGCACATGCGACTTGGATTTGTGCCGTCTTGTCCCAAACCATTTCCATGCCATGCGTGCCCTTCCAGAATGATCGCCACCAACATCACGTGTAATTTGGGTGGATGTTTGGATGCAAGCAACAATATTTCGGGCTCGCTTTCCAGAGCCAAAGAAGCAAACGCGCCGTGCAACATGGCACTTTGCACGGCTTAAAAAAAAAGGCATGGTGACAAGGAGCACCCCCGTGCGATGCCCGCGCGCTGTTGCCTTTTACTGGGGCGCCCGCAATGGTCCACGATGGCGAAAAACCGCTCTGGATAAATGCCTATGATCATGTCCTTCATAGGGGATGGGATGCCGAAGCGTTCGAGGGCTGCGCGAAGACAGTCCAGCTTGAGGCGGTCGAAAGCTTCCGCCCAACCCAGCAAGACCAACAGCATTCCATCTCCTTTAATTTGATACGCTGCGTCCACCATCCTCCTGATAAGCACGAGGGCGTCTGATGTGCCGCGCTCTGGGAAGAAGCCGAACTGGGATTCTCGCGAGCGTCCTTCGGCCCCCCCCTTGCACTAGCCGGTCGCGCATCATTGTTGCCAAAGCCTTGTGCCCCACAGCAAACAGGGAGATGGGGCGGCGATTGCTGGGGAGCGAGGCGTCGCCCTTCCTGGAAAGGAGGGGCACGTTCGCTGTTCCACGCTTTCGGCAAGCCTCTGTTCCCAACATTTGACGCACATCTGCAGCAAGGCATCGCATGCGTGATCGCCCTGACCAACGGCTGTCCAAAATTCTGGCGGGGCACCATCAACCCCGCTGCTTTCCGGCCGTTCATTTTACGAAGGGCCGTCTGCAGCTCCAGCTTGGTGAAGGTTGTCGTGTTCGCGCTGAGGGTCGGCCCTGGAGCTCGCGTCGAAGATGGCGCCAGCTCTGGGAAACGCACCTGCCACTAAACCTTTTCGAAAGAATCCGCCAAAGCGTCGGGTCGCGCAGCGGCGCGGGCAAGGTGCCCATCCAAGTCTTTCGCGCCCGCGCGGCTGGTGGCAGCAGGCCTGCGTAGTTCGCGCGCTGCCTCCCAAACCCCCCCGCCAAATATTTGCCCATCCACGTTCGTTTGTCTTCCCGGCCTGCTCGGCGAATTGCTTTGCTCAGCAACTGTTCCTCGTAGTAGTCCTGACAATGTCTAGAAGAGTTTCTCCTGCCAATTAACCAAAAAGTGGTCTGGGATATCCATGGGCGCTTCGCAGTGGCAGCCAGCGCCGGCAGGGTCGCAGCAGCCGTCGCGAATGCCATTTCCAAGTTTGTTGCCATAGAGTCTGGGTTTTCGACGTCGCCTGCAGCTCTCCATGCGCCATGACATGTTGAAGTTAATGATGAGGCCGCCCTGGAGTCGCTCAGAAGAAATGTCTTTTCGAAGTTCGCGAGCGTCAGCCTTCGCGGAGAAGTCGATGGCCAGGTCGACCAAGAGCAAGTAGTGATGGCCGCTGAGCGCTGCGCCCTGGCACACTTGACATGTCGATACCAATGGGGCGCAAGAGTCGCGACGCAGAACGTGGCCAATGTGCGCAAAACGATCCGGCGTAATAGGGCGCGCGCGCTTTGCCCCAAAGTCGCGGCATGTTACCACGTTCCAATTTGGGAGGTCAAAGCAAGCATTGGCAATGACCATGTTTGTTGCGATACAACACTCCGAAGGTATCGTTTACTTTGGTCCAGGGGTGCAGATCACCTCTTGTAAGCTACCTTTAACTTCTTGTACCACTTACGCGCTGATCATTTGACAAACGGTTGAAATTTGTTTTTAACATCAATGCATCCGAATAGAATTCGGATCGCATCCAGATAGTATGTTCGTTAAATGTCAGAAGTGGTTGGCAGGTTGTTAACTAGTTGATAACTTTTCATAACTTTTCATAACTTTTCATAAGTTTTTTAAGTGGCACATGGGTTTCAGGATTTAATCACAGAAGCGTTCAGCCCGAAAGTATTCATTGTTTTTGATCCTTCGTCGGGGGCCCGTGAAGTTCTCGCCGAGACTTCGGGGCCCGATCCCGCAATTGCGGGGGCATGTGCCATGCGCGAAGCGCTGTTATAAATGCTGGCCGCGCCATGCGCGAAGCGCCCTGACATAATTTATATATACATATATATATACGTACGGACCTTCCGTTGATTCATGTATTTCTCGGGCTTGCGACGGCGACGACGGACGACGGCGGCGACGACGCCGAAACGAGGACGACGACGACGGACGACGACGACGAGGGGCGACGGCGACGACGATGGCGGACGGACGGATGACGAGCTATGCACCGCATAGCACAGCATAGCACAGCATAGCACAGCATAACATACCAAACCGCACGGGGTCGGCGGAATGGCGGCGCAGCCTTAATAGCACCCGTCCTGCCCAGATAACACAAGATAGCACACCATAGCACAACGTGGCGCAGCATAGCGCAGCATAGCACAGCATAGCACAGCATAACATGCCAAACCGCGTGGGGTCGGCGGAATGGCGTTGCAGCCTTATTAGCATCCGTCCTGCCCAGAGAACACAAGATAGCACACCATAGCGCAACATGGCGCAGCATAGCACGTCATAGCACAGCATAGCATACCAAACCGATGGGGTCGGCGGAATGGCGGCGGCCTATAGATTATAGTGGCACTTTATATCCGTCCTGCCCAGACGTGGGTGGAGGAAGAGGAAAGCGGAGGGAGG